TTAGGAGGGTCTAGTGGCTGTGTGTTGCCTGGTAGGGAATTATTTGGGATTATGCAAGTTGTGGCTCCTGGGGGTTCTGGGTAAAATGTTTCTAGGTATTGGGATCTTACACTTATGAATGAGCTATAAGGGTGGGGGCATTAGGGGGGTCTACAAAAGGAAGGAAAGCAAGATTTCCCATAAGGATCAGTTTAATCTCTTGGGAATGAGGACAGAGAGTGAGGAGAGGCTACAGCAGGTGGTCTGCCACAGAGCTGGGCGTGGGACTGGCATGTTAGACTTGGAGGAGAGGACAGAGGTGAAGATCTGCAGTTACCCTGCCTGCTTCCCTGGCTGGAGTCTTGCTCTAGTTTTTCTTTGCATTCTTCCTATTCATTTTCCTTGTTTCTTTCTATTTCTTGAGTTTTTCTTCTTTTTTTCACTTCTTTTTTTCTTTAGTGACCTTTAAAATATATCTATTGATTCTGACTCTCTCTCTGTCAGTGTCTCTATGTCTCTGTATCTCTCTGTGTATATGTGTCTGTCTGTTCTATCTCTCTGTCTCTGTCTCCCACTCTCTCTCTCTCTTTGTATGTGTGTGTGTTTACATTCATATGTGCCTGTGGAGGTCCGAGGACAATTTGTGGGAGTTTATTCTTTCCTTTCACCATGTGTATCCCAGAGATCCAGCTCAGGTCAGGGACTTGACAACAAGTGATTTTGCACACTGAGCTGCCTCACCAGCCTATCTTTATTTACTGTTTATTTCCGTTCCATTTGCTTTTTTTCCTACTTTCTTTCCGTCTTCTTCCCTCTTTTTCCTCTTTTTATTCCCCACTCCTTAGTTTATATTTTCTATTAAGCTGTTTCAGTTAATATCCATTTTCTTCTACTTCCTGCCTTATGTCCTGGGGATATGAGGAGGAAGCACGTAGTTTAAAGATAGTGGGAAAGGGGGGTAAGTATGTAGACATTACCAAGCTCATGATGACACTGTCTGCTATGAACTATGGCACGAAGGGAACCACAGCAAAGTTTTCCTGACTTACAGAGTGAAGGTTTCCTAGGAAGCAGGCATTCTGATGAAGGTTTTATACCTGTAGTCTCTACTGGTCTTTTAAGGATGGGTAGCTGTTGTCATGCAATGAAATGAGACAGAGGTGTAAAGATCACTGTCAATATCAAGAAGTAAAACCTTGACTGGAGAAGGTTGATTCCAGTGGTTTGTTTCCTTACTTGATATGGCGTGGTAAAAACATATTCATAAATGCAGTGATATTTTAGTTGTGACAATAACTAGGAGTGTTATGATTGTGATGCTCGCTATTAAGAATCTAGAACAGAAGAATGTTGAAAACGAAGTGAGTTAAAAGACAGGATTGTTATAAGAAAATTTTTTGCAATATCATATGACTGTCCCAGACCAGAATGTTTTCTACTTGCTTTTTTAGCATCAAGTAGCTATCAGGCTTTATTTTTAAAATACTATGTCCTGACTCATCACATAACTTTTGTTTTTCAATTTTTTAATCTAATGAATTAATTTATGGGGGCGCGCATGGCACTTGCATGGAGGTAAGATGACAACTTTATGGAGTTGGTTTTTTTATTCTGTCATGTGAGCTCCACAAACAAACTCAGGCTGTCAACTTTGGCGGCGAGTGCCAAGACCTTTTAAGCCACCTTACTGACCTGGCTTTTGGGCAGCGTGCATAAATCACTGCATTTGCTGGTACATTTAGTCATTAAAGCCCTATTAATTGAAAACCCTTTACTGGTAAGATTGTGATAGTAGAGTAAATTAGATAAATAACAATCTTTTTGCATGTGAACTTTTGTGTTTTGAGACATGATCTTGATATACAGCTCTGTTGAAACTTGCTGTGTATCCGAGGCTGGCTTTGAAATATGATTGGTTCTATTGTCTCTGCTTCACAAGTGCTGGGATTCAAGACATGCACCATCATACCTGTCCTAGATAGGAGGTTTTCTCTCAGAATATTCTCGTTTTATTTTTTTCTCTCAGAATATTCTTAATATACATGAATAAATTCAGATACTGATACAGGTTAGAAAACAAAAGGCAGTGAGTGATATGATAAAATGATGATGATGTTATTTTAGAGCAGTGTGTCCAAAAGAAATACTCTCAAAAATATGACACATAAGCTGAAGCCTAAATGGTGATGAAAAGGACCAATGTCAAGTAAGAACCAACATAGCTTGTTCAAGGTCAATGCAAGGTCGGTAAGGCCCAGCATGGTGATGCATGCGTGTATTCCCAGAACTGTGGAGATGCAGACAGAAAGATGCCAAATTTGAGCCCGGCTGCTGGTCCATAGTGAGTTCAAGGCCATCCTTGCCTATGTGAGGTGACTCTGTCTAAAAAGAGAGAGTTAAAGAGAGAAAGCAAGCACTGCAGTGTGGTAGGCTAAGGGATGTTTTACATGATAGAAGGTTATAGATTCTTTCATGCCATGTAATCTATTGACGAGTCTTCTGAGGTTTCTGACTCTCATCCAAAATTTCCCATTTCCAGTTTTATTTCAGTTTGAGTTTCCTTTAAGTATTCTATTTTGTTAAATTCCACTGCCGTTTCTTGTAGTCAACTGCCCCTCACCACCATGGGGCTTCATTAAATGATTCATTTATATTCTCTTTAAGGTCCTTGAACATATTCATAATTGCTATTTTGAAGTCCTTGTCTTGTGCTTCAGCTCTATTGCATTCTACAGGGCCTTCTTCAGTAGGGTTACTGGATTCTGGTAAAGGCATATTTTCATGGCTCTTCCCTGTTACAATTTTTTTTTCTGAGACAGGGTTTGTCTGTGCAGCCCTAGCTGTCCTGGAACTCGCTCTGCAGACCATGTTGGCCTTGAACTCAGATAGATCTACCTGCCTCTGACTCTAATGATAATTATTATTAATATAATATAATATTAATAGTATATTATTGATAGTAGATCTGCTGGGATTAGAGGCATGCACCATCACCACTCAGCCTCATGTTGCAGTTTTGCACTGGGATTGAAATACCTAGAATTATGATGTCTGAGATGTTTCTTGGAGTGAATATCTGGTCTTGTCTTTGTTGGGTGGCTGTCTTATTCTTTGGTTGCTGTTGCCCTGTCTGTGTCCTAGACAAGTGGGCTGTGGGGTCACTGGAAAAGAGCGCTTCTGTGGGTCAGCGGGTGACTCAAATGAATATAGATAGACTAGGAGGGAAGACTGAGAGGGCTGAATGAAAGGGCTAAGTGGGGTTTGAACCAAGAGGTGGAGCCTATAGGAATGGAGTGAAAGAGTGATTTTTAAGGAAGAGGTGATAAGATTTATTGATAAAATGGCTGCATAGGATGATAAAAATAAAAGTCTTGGGAAGAAGTTACAGAAAGAAATGAAAAGACTCCTTCTTTCAAGGTGTCTATCAAATAATGTAAGGCACAGAACATTTAAGTGTTTTATGGTGTCACTTAATGATGGAACACACAGTAACGGAAAGGTCAAGAGTATGGTGGCAATTAGGGCCCAAACAATCAGGGAGGAGTTTCTAAAGGAGATAAACAATGAATTGGATCCTGTAAAAGGAGTAGGCACTCGTAGAGTTTCAGAGCTGGAAGAACATATATTTCATAAAGGAATAACAGCAGGGGTGAAAAAATACAAGGTAGGAATATACAAGGAAGCAGTCAGAAACAGATTTAGTTGGCAAAATAATTGAGGGTGGAAAATGGGGCTGGATCAATAGTTTAGGGACTATTCATAAGAGTCTTACTAATTGGTGAAATATTTATAGTGGCAGGGTAGTTTGTAAGCAGCAATGTAAGGGAACAATGAAATTAACAAAACTAAAATAGTTAGCTCCATTTGATTAGCATAATTTGAGCTAGAGTCTTCCACACAGAAACCTGTGGCTACAGACAGGTTCATATAGCTTTATTTCACAGCTATCCAAGATAGATATCTGAAAATTCCATGGTATAAAGCCTAAGATGGCACCTTTAAAAGATCTATTGCGAACACCAGAAGTGGTGGCACACACCTTTGATCTCAGCACATGGGAGGCAGAGGCAGGTGGATCGCTGAGTTTGAGGCCAGCTTGATCTATAGAGCAAGTTTCAGGACAGCTAGGGTTATGCGGGGTTACATAGGGAAATCCTGTCTCAAAAAAAGAAAAAAGAAAGAAAAAAGATCTGTCATGTAAGCTTCCATGTAATCAGACAGTTTCCTTTAAACATCTGCTTAAATCCATATGGTTTGTTTGTTTCTTTTTGTTAGTAGGTCTTTAGATTTTGGGGGTATTTCGTAGGAAAAAAAGTCAATGTTTCTATCAAATAATAATTATTAATCTGTATTGTTTACTGTTTACTTATAATTTCACTTACTGCACATTTATCAAACATAGTGATACATGCTGTATTTCCTTCTGGATTAATTACTATTGGCCATGTATTTGTATGTGATATATATGGTGAGTGTGATTGCATATATGGTATGACGCACATACAGACATAAGAGTACAACTTTTGGAAGTGGATTTTCTACTTCCACTGTGGATTCAAGGATTGGGCTCATATTTCCAGACTCCTGGGGCAAATACCTTGACCTGCTAAGCTGTCTTGCCAGCCAGACAATCTTTATTTGTAAAACAGTCAAATGAAGGATGCAAAATGATTCTCAATCTACTGAAGAGAGAACTGGAATTGGAAACCCATATAAGCTTAGATAGCTAATAAGTAGCAAATAGGGTTATCATTTATCTAAGAACAGGGGTTCCCAAATATGGCATCCCTGGAGGAGTTCCTTATTCTCCTGGAAATCTTTAATTTTTAACCAAGTGCCTTCGGAACTTGGACCTCTTCTGTGCATTAAGTCTCAACAAACTTGTAATGCACTTGAATTTGTATAAAGGCTTTTTCATAGACCACCTTTCCTCTGAAGTATAGCTAGGAAAGGGGAACCCATCCCCCACATGCTTCTAATGGGTATTCTCACTCAGATTTCTCTCTCTGATTATCTTTTAGGGACATTTGAAATCTATTGTCAAGCAGGCAGCCACAGAGAAGCAGGGATGAGGGCAGTTTATAATGTCTCCCAATGTTCTAGTCGTCAAGATAGCCCACGCCAACACTACCAAGCTTCAAGAGTCTACTACATCATGGCAGAAGAGGTGGAGTGGGATTATTGCCCTGACAGAAGCTGGGAACTGGAATGGCACAACACATCTGAGGAGGACAGGTAAGGCTTCAGAAAAGGAGAGACCACAGCTTTAGATACTGAAACTTGCCATGCCAGCGCAACCTGGATGCCAAGACTGGCAGGGGTGGGGGTGTTGGTGCTGGGATTGAGACAAGGTGGCTTCTTTTCAGGTGGAAGAACAGCAACTTTTATCCCCCCCCCCCCAGCTAAAGCCTTTTATACCTTTAAACAGTCTGGGAAGCTTCTCGGGAAAACCACCAGCCAAAAAGAACACAAACATCCTTGTCAATTACAAGGAAGTTTAGCTGTTGGTCAGGGGGAGTGAGGGTAGTCAGATCACAGCAGAAACTGAAAGTAGGAGGCATTTTTATAACCACACAATATTCTGCCAAAAGATGTGAGACTAGAATGGAAGGACTTTGAAGCCTTTTGCTTCCTATATTCATTAGAATATATAGAATATATATTCATTAAAAGACCTTGCTACATCTTGCCCTCTTAGCCTTGCTTCCCTTTTAATTCGCTACAACTTACCTACAATGGGATTTAAAGTTCATAGGGATTTACTCAAGCAATGGAATGTCTCAAGGTCATTTATTAAGGTACAGACCAAGCTGGGAAATGGAAAAAGTCCAAAACGGAGTAGTTTAAATAGGCAAATAGGCAACAATTTTAGCTGGTTAGCTGGTTTTTTTTTTTTTTTTTTTTTTTTTAACATATAACCATCTATGCTGCCCGCATCTCCTAATTTCAATTCTGGAACCAAGATGGTTATTTTAGTGGTGGCTCTCCCCAGCTTTCAAGTTCCGAAAAACAGCATTGCCTGGGAGGATAGACCTGTAAGCTGTATATATATCAGTTTTTCTCGTGTTCTATTTCTTAAGCTTATTCATATGGTTGCAATGTAACATCTGTGAAAACAGCCATGTGTTCCACTAAAGCCTGGGTGACTCTGTTACTAAAAAGAGGGAGATGAGAATACAAACTGGTACAAAGTATTACTAATAATAGTTTTCTCTAGTTTGTGGTGCCTTTGCTGTCTTCTGTCAATTCTTGACATCTATAAGTTTAAGTTTAAGTTTGTAAGTTTAGGTTGAAGTCTTCATGCTAACATTCTATGGGAGTTAGGAAATAGGCATTTTTTTTTCTGTCAGCCTTGATTTCGTCTATCATGCATAGCTGATAAGTCATTGCTAGAAAAGAAGGAAGGGCAGAAACAGTGGACTGAACTCTAAGTCCTGCCTCCTCTTTTGGGTGACAGTGTCTTTGTGCACCCATCAATTCTGACCTAGTGATTCCACCTCAAGACTCACCTACTTGGGAAATTCACTGTTAAAATGAATGATAAACACTGTCAACCACTAAGAATCCTATAATCAGAAAGCTGTAAGATCCCATGTCTTCCCACTTTTGATCTCCAAGAGCAACTATGGATGCTCAGCTGACACTTTGTGCCTTGTCCTTTTGTTAAATAATTCCCAATCTAAGATTCAATTACAGCTGGAACCAAAGTCACAAGTTTTTGATTCTTAGCTCAGTGAATCAAACTGCAAATATCTATCTGGTTGATGAAAAATAACAAACGTAGCTTCAGAAATGTACTATTTTCAATCATGATAATGCAATTTGACATTATAATGGATAGATATATATTTTTCATATTTGACATGAGTATAGTTCTAAATTAATTTCCCCATAACTGAAAATAAAGGTTGAAGGTCAGGTACTAATAACAGTCTTTGGATTCTTCTAGTTATGGTCGTGTTTTCCTGAGCAACAAGGATGGGCTCCTGGGTTCCAGATATAAGAAAGCTGTATTCAGGGAATACACGGATGGTACTTTCAGGATTCCTCAGCCGAGGTCTGGACCAGAGGAGCACTTGGGAATCCTGGGTAAGGGGATTCTACTTACATCCTGGCATCTAGGAGCCTGGGTTGCTTCTATTACACCTATATCATATCAGGGAGGTTTTTCCATCCTTCATTCTCAGCTTTTCCACGTGAAATAGAAAAAGTATGGCCCTATTTTATAAAGTGGCCATGAATATAAGCATGGAAGGGAATGGTGGAAACATGCATTCTGCTGTAACATGAACCAAAATGTTCTGATTTTCTGTACCTTTGAGACAAGAATTCTCCGAAGGTAGTAGATTTTAAAAGACTCCAGAGGCAGGAGAATTTAGGAACTCCAGCATGTGAAACCAAAAATAATACACAGAGCCACAATTGCCCCCATACCTCACTTTAATCAAGGTTATATGTTGCTTTTATACAATGGGCTTTTTATTTTCATCCTAGACCAGACAGGACCTACTGCCCTCTGAAGAGAGTACTGTTGATGGAGAGAGGGTCCCTTTGTCCCAGCCACCCGTCTAGATTACACGCAAAATAACCACACAGAAACTGTATTAATTAAATTACTGCTTGGCCCATTAGCTCTAGCCTCATATTGGCTAACTCTCACATCTTGATTTAATCTACTTCTATCAATCTGTGTATTACCATGAGGTTGTAGCTTACTGGGAAAGATTTAGCATGTCTGACCTGGCGACTCCATGGCAGCTCTTTTTTTTTTTTATTTTTCCATTCAAAAATTTACACTTTCTCCCCTCCTCCCAATCCCCTCCTGCTCCCCCGCTCACCTCCTCCCTCCCCCTCCCTGCTTGAGAGTGGGCAGGGAACCCTGCCCTGTGGGAAGTCCAAGGCCTTCCCCCCCTACATCCAGGCCTGGGGAACTGTGCATCCATATATATTAGGGTCCCCCATAGCCAGAACATGCCAAAAAAAACAAGTCCCAGTGCCTTTATCAATAGCTTCTCAGTCAGTCCACATTGTCAGCTACAATCAGAGAGTCTGGTTTGATCACATGCTCGTTCAGTCCCAGTCCAGCTGGATTTGGTGAGCTCCCATTAGCTCAGGCACACTGCCTCAGTTGGTGGACCAACCCCTCTCAGTTCTGACTTCGTTCTGACTTCCTTGCTTGTTTTCTCCGTCCTTCTGCCCTTCAACTGAATCTTGGGAGCTCAGTCCATTGCTCTGATGAGGGTCTCTGTCTCTATCTCCATCTGTCACTGAATGAAGATTCTATGGCGATATTCGAGATAATCATCAGTGTGATAGTGGGGCAAGGACAGGTCAGGCATCCTCTCCTCTGCTGCCCAAGGACCTAGCTGGGGACGTCCCCGTGGGCATCTATGGCAGCTCTTGCACTCTGCTTTCTCCCAGAATTAGTTCTGTCTTCTCCACCTAAGTTCTGCCCTATCAACTAGGCCAAGGCAGTTTCTTTATTCATTATCCAATGAAAGCAACACACAAACAGAAGGAACTCCTACACCAGAGTACAGCTATTCTATGGGCTATTCTATGGGCTATATGTGGCAAGACTTCAGTCCTTTCTATCAATGATCCCGCAAAACTCAGAGAATCTCTAGAGCTTTTGGCTATTATATAGAGAAAAATAGGATGAGGAAAATGGGGATAATATGAAGCATATTTGTATTTTTGAGGTACCCTCATGCTGTTGATAGCAGTACCAATTTTAGGACTTCTGAATCTGAAAATGAACCCAAGCATGTCTTTTAGTCTGAGGAAGATTAATTCCCAGTTACATGGGTCTTGCCGTTATGCCTTGTTCTTTGTTGTCTCCCTTTTCACTTCCCTGCTAATGAAACTTGTACTTCTTTTGTATGTATCAGGTCCACTTATCAGAGGAGAGGTTGGTGATATCTTAACTGTGGTGTTCAAGAATAATGCCAGTCGACCATATTCTGTGCATGCCCATGGAGTTCTAGAGTCCAATACTGGCTGGCCACAGGCTGCTGAGCCTGGTGAGTGGAAGGACAAAGGCTTTGTAGTCCTTCTGTTTTAGTCTTCTGGTTTTATCGTTTTAAACACCTTACATTCTTGGTCTGGGAGTGTAGCTCACTGAAAGATAGAGGGAATTAACTGGTGAATTGGAGTTCTAGGCAGGTTTATTTTTCTTTTGCATTTACAGTAGTTCCTGTATTTCAGTTAAAAATAGCTTGTATACGACATGGTTTTACATTGTAACTTTCCAAGTTCCTTACAGTGTTTAGTTAAGTTGTTTATGTGTGCTAATTAATAAATAAATAATAATCTTTTGATTACTATAAGAAAATACCAGCGACAGTCTACTTTAGAAATAACAGGGGTTTGTTTGGCTCACAGTTCCACAAGTATAAGGTCTGGGAACTTTATTCAGAACTGACCTTGCATTTTGAGACTGTACAAGGCAGCACATGATGAGACAGAAAATGTATGTGTGTATTCTTGTCTCCTCATGAAACCAGAGGATTCTTTTTTCAGTGTTCTATCCTAATAGCACCCCCCAAACCACTTCTCTAAATGTAGCTGAATCAAATCTGTACTATTTTACTACTGTACAATGTGAAGTAAATATCAATACATGAAGTGTTAGATGATAATCAAACCATACCGGAACTTTCCCTTTATATCTTTCTTCCAGCTTAATGTTAGTATCTGTAGCAATAAATGTATCTATAGCATCTCATCAGTTTGGGTAGTTGTCTTTAGAACTTTTTTAAAATTTGCTTTTCGTTATTTTGTTTTTCAAATTCTTGTTGTATGTATACATTATACACAGCACAGCACAATATTTTGTAAAAATAATTTCAAGTAAGTATATACTGTACATCGAGCTTCTTTGATCCCCGTATTCCCTTACTCTCCTCTTTCTTGCCCTACCCTTCTCATTTGTCCTCCAGAACAGTTTTGCTTACACAATCAGGTCATACATATATACATGATTTTTATGTATCTCTGTAAAAATCTAAGGATGATAAATGGATGAAAATATATATTTGCATTTCTGGACTGATTAATATAATTGTCTCCAGTTTTATGCATTTTCTTGCGAATGGCACAAGCTCATTCTTCTTTATGGTAGAAAGGAATTCCTTGTTTATAATTATAAATATATTATCTGATCCTCTGTTGGACACATTCAGTTCTATAACTAAGCTACTGAGAATAAAGCTGTGATTGATATGCTAGGATGTTTGTGATATGTTGACTTGGAATTGTTTCAGTACATATCCAGGAGAATTTTTCTTGAAGAACCCCCATACTGATTTCCATAGTGGCTTGACTAGTTTACTTTTTAACCAGAAGTATGTAAGAATTCTTTCTTTTTCTCTTTTCTTTTCTTTTCTTTCTATTTTGTTATTCACAACTGGATTTCTCTGTGTAATGGCCCTAGCTGTCCGGGAACATGCTCTATACACAAGAATCGCCTAGATCTCACAGAGATCCTCCTGTCTTGCCTGACTAGGGCTGGGATTAAAGGGGTGTGCCACCACTGCCTGGTTCTTTGGTTCTTTTTCTGCTTACCTAATGACTGCTTTGGGGACTGGGATGAGATGGAATCTCAATGTAGATTTGGAATTCTTAGATGACTAATGAGTTTGAGCAGTTTATATTTGTTTATTAGCTATTTATATTTCATTTGTTGAGAACTGATCATTAGTTTATTTATTTATTGAATTGTTTGATTTATTGCAGTTTAGTTCCTTTTTAGTACTTTTTATATTCTAGACATTAATCTTGTCAGATATCAAACTAGTAGAGATCTTCTTCCACTCTATACCCTGTCATTTCGCTCATTTAACTGTTTCCTTTCTGTGCTGTACATTGGAATTTCATGAGGTCTTAATGTCAATTGTTGGTATTATTTACTGAACAGCTATAACCAGTTCTAGAAAGCCCTTTAATATTCTTATGCCTTTTTCCATACTATTCAGACTAACAATGGCAACAGTTTAGGCTTAGGTCTTAGGTTTTTTTGGGGGTTAGGTTTTATTTGTATTGTATGTGAGGTGATAGGGATAGAATTTCATTCTTCTACATATGGTTATCCAGTTTTAACTTGCAATATTTTTGAAGAGACTTTTCCAAAACGTATGTTTTTGAAATTATTGTGTGATATCTGACAGCTATTATGACATGGGCTTGTATCTGGACTCTCTATTCTGCTGATTTGTGTTTCTGCTTTGTGTCAGATCTGTTCTATTTTCTAACTCAGCCTGTGCAGTTTGACATAGAACCAAGGATTATTCGTTTGGCTCAGGATTGCTTTGGCTATACATGGTATTTATTGTTGGTATTTTGTGTGTGTGCTTCCACATGAATTTTAAATTTTTTTTTAGTTTTGTGAAGAACAGCATTGGAATTATATGGGGATTGCATTGTATCTGTAGATTGCCCTGAGTACTGTAATCCTTTTCACAATATTAATTCTTTTCAGTCCATAACTGTGGGAGACATTTTTATTTTGTAGCGTCTTGCTGTAATTCTTCCTTTAGTGTTATAAAGATTTTTTCTTTAAATGTAGAGGGGTTTTTTTTGCTTCTTTAGTTTGATGTTTTCCAAGGTATTCTTTCAGATCTTCTTTGAGAGAGAGTCTCATTATGTAACCATGGCTAGCATATAAACCATAAACCAAGTTTTCTTCAAACTCTCAGAGATCTGCTTCTCCAGTTCTGGGAGGCAGGCGTAGTTCTGAGGCACCAGTAGCTGAGAGCTTGCATTCTTATCTGCAAGTAGGAGGCAGCTATCTCATATATATTTGTGTGTATATGTGGTGTGTGTGGTGTGTGTGCACAGAGAGAGGAAGAGAAAGAGAGGGGGGAAGGGGAGAGAGAGAGGGAGAGAAAGCACACTAACTGGGTACAGGATAGGCTTTTAAATCCTCAAAGCCAGTTCCTAGTGACTCAATTTCTCCAACAAAGCCACACCTCCTAATCGTCCACCAAGTGGGGACCAAGTATTCAATATATATGCCTATGGGACCTATTCTCATTTGCAGACTGCCACATCAAACACCCTGTTCCTGAGCACTGATAAATCATTCCTTTTGAGCTACCCTAATTTTTTTCCGGGCAAAAGATAATTTGGAAGGATTCTAATTCTTGCTAACCTCTCCAGGCTGTGGGCCATGAGTTGGACATACCAGAATTCAAATTATTTACAAATATTTGTTGTATGGAAGTTGAACTAATTTTCTAGGGGGTGGCCCAAGGAAAATCACAAACTGAATTATATGAACAACAGACATTCTGTTGTCTCGAGTTGCTAGAGTCTAGACTCTACACTATAGTACTGGAAAGATTGCTTCTTTTTTTAATGGCTACGAGGGAAGGCATTTTTTTCAGACTCAGTCTTTTTTGGATTGTAGGTAGACATCTTTTCCTTGTTTTCTGTTTTGGAGGAGGGGGCCACTTGTTGGTACCTGGCCACTTAGCTCCAAAATAATCACATAGAAACTATATTATTTAATAACTTCTTGGACCATTAGCTCTAGCTTTTTATTGGCTAATTCTTACATATTAATTTAACCCATCTCCATTAATCTGTGTATTGCCATGTGGCTGTGGCTTATCGTCTAAAGTTCCGGTGTCTGGTCTCAGGTAGCCTCTCTCTACTTTGCCCTTCTTTTTCTCAGCATTCAGTTCTGTCTTCCATGCCTACCCAAGCTCTGTGCTGCTATAGTCCAAAAACAGTTTCTTTATTCATTAATGGTATTCAAGCATACAGAGAGAAATCCCACACCATTCTGTCCTAATTTTCTATTGCTGCCTTAAACACCATGACCAAAAGCAACCTGGGAATAAAGGGGTGTATTTCATCTTAGATCTCTCAAGTCACAATCCCTCACTGAGGAAAATTGTTGCAAGAATATGGAGGCAGGAGCTGATGCAGAGGCAATGGAGGAATACTGCTTACTGGTTTGCTCCTCATGACTTGCTGAGCTTGATTTCTTATACCATCCAGGACCACCTGCCTATCAAGGGGTAAAAGTCTAAAGTTCCTCAACTATAAAATATAAGTTACACATTTTCTTACTTCGATGGGGAAAAACAAGGACACAGTCATAATAAGACCAGAACTAACCCAAAATACAACACTATAAATAGTTCAGTGTTTGATGTCTGGGACAGGATCACAATCTTTTTCTTTTGGGTTTCGAAGGCCTGTGATGTCACCTTGTCCATATCTGCTTTTTGCAGCATAATCAGCTTGTCTGATAGCCTCAAGCCAGCTCCACTCCACAGTTGCTACTGTCCTTAGTGATCATCCCATAGTACTGGTATCTCCAAAAGTTTGGAGTCTCCACTGCAACTGAGGATGAATCTTCACCATTGGCCTCTCCTGCCTTCTCTTCAGGGACTCCCATTCCTGTTACATAGTGCCAACCCTCAGCTGTTCTCCATTACCTCTTCAGGTCTTCAAAGCCAGTACCACCTGACTCTTACACATTACCAATTTTAGCTCCCAGCATGGGATACAGCCTTGGCTACCCAGGACCACAGATTCTGTGTTTTGATCCTGAGGAAATACTCCCAGATTTCTCCTAAATGATGATGGTCTCTTCTTAACCACAGCTTATTTTATTCAGTCCCAGGGAACCAGTATCATCTGTGTCAGTAAAGCAAAGGTTTTACTTCGGTAGTGCTAGTATCTTGTTAATTGTTTATGAGTCTTCAGGTCTCGCTGACCAGAACCAAGGGTTCTTAACACAAAATATCACACAAATTGCCCTGGTCAGAGTCTTTGTTTGCTTCTGACACTGCACAAATCACTCTTCCATCATCTGCATCTCTTTCAGTACTTTTAGCATTTAAACTCTGTAGAAGGAGTGAACAGACCTGCTTTTCATCCTGCCCAGCTCCTGCACGGCTAGCTTTACACCCGAAATAACAACACAAATTGTATTCATTTAACCACTGCCTGGCCCATTAGCTCTAGCCTCTTACTAACTAACAAGTAACTCTCACATCTTGATTAACCCATTTCTATTAATGTGTGTAGCACCACGAGGTGGTGGCTTACCAGGAAGATTCTAACCTACATATATCTTGGGCTGGAGCTTCATGTGTCTGCGTGCCTCTGCTTTCTTTCTCCCACAATTCTGTTCTGTCTTCCCCACCTACCTATGTTCTGACCTATCAGGCCAAGCAGTTTTCTTTATTAATTAACCAATGAAAGCAACAGATAGATAGAAGACCCTCCTACATAAAAACTCCCAAATGTCCATTAAGCTTTGAGCACTCAATGGCTTTCCTATATTAAAGTTCCAATGTCCTTCCACAATCCTCTTCCAAACAGTATGATCAGTTCTGTCACAGCAATGCTCCATGAGTCTGATACCAGTTTCCATTTTAGGTTTCTGTGGCTTTAATAAAGACAATGACCAGATAACCTTGAGGAGTAAAGGGTTTCTTTCAGCTTACAGTTCCACATCACATCATATCAGCAAAAGAAGTCAGGGCAGAAACTCAAAGTACAAACCTGGAGGCAGAAACTGAAGTAGAGACCGTGGAGGGGTGTTGTTTACTGACTTGCTTGTCATGGCTTGCTCAGCCTGCTTTCTTATAGAACCCAGGACCACCTGTCCAGGGGTGGTACAACCCACAGAGATCTGGGGCCTCCTTCAATAATCATTAAGAAAATGCCCTATAGACTTGCCTATATTTGATGGAAGCAGTTTCTCAACTGATATTCTTCCCAGAAAACTCTAGCTGGTATCAACTTGACAAAATCAACCAACCAAACAAACAAAACAGGACACTGTATCTTTGGGTCATTTTCTTGTTATGTATGGCTCTACATCTAAAGTTCTCCTTTTTATAAGGATACTGGGTAATATTCGAGGTCTGCCCTACTAACCTCATTTAAAACCGATTTCCTCTTGATTCTAATTTGACCATGTTTCTAAATGAGGTCAGATTCTGAGCTAATGGGGGTTAAGACTTCAATATATAATATTTTGGAAGAGACACATTTGGATCAACAGCAGATAGAGGATTAAGTAATGAAAAGGAAATGAGAAAATTCAGATGTAAATGTTGGCAACACTGTAAAATACTTAATTGTAAAGGACGCCAGATTCATAGATTGCAGAAGACACAGTGTGGGAGGAAATCACAGAAGCAAGGAGAGAACTGAGCATGGTGTATTTGGAAAAAGGGATGTGTAGAGAAGTTATAGATACAGGTAGGAGGATGAATTTAAATCTGGCAATACACAAGAAGTGGTATTGGGACCTCTCTTGAAAGTTGCAATCTTAAATCAGAAAAAGAGAACTTCCTCATCTGAGACTGGAGTGACGGGTGGATATGTATATATATATATATATATATATATATATATATATATATATATATATTGTATATGGTACTAGAATTGGTAATGGCAGTAGAAGAGATAAGAGCCTTCAGAGTTGTATGTGAAGTTTAATTTTGATTCTCACTTTAATTAAACTGATGTGCTGGTTGTGATTTGTGAAATTTCTTTCTGGGCATGTCTGTGATAGCATTTCCAGAAAAATTAGGCAGGAACGCCTGTTCTATATGTAGACAGCAGCATCCAATATACTAGTGTTCTGAGTAAAGAGCATTGCCTCACAGTAAAGATGTGATGCCTAGATTGGGAGCTGCTTGCTCTACTATTCCCTGCTGATCACGAGGTGCTGAAATCAAGATAAATCTTTCTTTCTTTAAGTTGTTTATATTAGATATTTTGTCACAGGGTTAAGAAAAGTTACTAATCTAAATGGTAAGAGCATAATTCTAGAGTTAGGCTGTATAAGTTCACATTTCAGTCCTATGTGTGGCATTTGGAAAGCTATTAACATCTGTCTGTGACCTTCACTTCATATCTACAAAAGTTTCTTTTTGAGAATTCAAAATTTCAATGTGCTACACAAGCATTTGGCAATGTCATGATTATGGAAAGTCTGAGTGAAAATGAGTTGTGGAGAGTGAGGTACAAAACAGGTGAGCCTAGAGGAATGTGGTAAAAATTTGGAGTCACCAAGAATAACAAGATATGGAGCTACAAAATTCAATAGCACTTGCGGAGTCACTGAGACTGTGAATATATTTTTAAAAACTGCAATACATAGGGCCAAGCAGCTTTCCTCAGTGCTGTTTAGTATCTACTAGTCTAATACCAGAGGAGATGGATTCCAGGATGATATATGGCTCAGTATTTTTCAGTTTTAGTGAACATGACAATTACTTAAAGTTATTAAATTATATGTGACCAGTGATATTATATTGTGCTTACTTAGTGATATTGGAGTCAAACCCAGGTCCTTGTGCATGTTTGGGAAAATTCTACCACTAAGCTACAAAAAGGATCAGTACAATATTTGATTTTGGTTTTTGTTTTACTGATAAGTGCTGCTGCTGAAGATCTTTTATGTTCTTATTTATATTTTTATGTCGTCTTTAGTGAATTGTCTGTTCAAAGGTTTGCTCATTTTAATTGGGCAGATTGTTTTTGTTTTGTTACATTGTAAGAGTTCTTTACTATTTTATTGAAAAAAGTGAGCAGATGAATTAAATAAACGTTTCTCCCAAAAAGTACTTGAAAATACCACTAAAGGCTAGAGAAAATTCTCAACATCATTTAGACATGAGAGACCAACATATCAGAATTTCATTAGGATAGCCTATTTCCTTCCCTAAAGCAAAATTAAGAATAAAGATAACTAATTTTTGAGAATATTGAGAAAGTAGAATCGACATAGTGATGTTTGATGATTCCACTGCTTTGCAAATCAGTTTGCCAATTCTTCCAATTGTTAAGAATTGGCATTACTGTATAATTTAATAATTCCATCCCAAGTTATACATCCAAGGTAATTGAAAACATACAAAAAAACTGTATGAAAGTTGATAGTGGCAATTTTATGATTTTGTGAAGGAAATCAAGGGTCTCAAGCATGCTAGGAAAGTGCTTTACCCCCAAGCTACAACTGTAGTCCTTAATATCAGTGTCATTCATATTCCACTCAAAGTAGAAATACCCAAATATCTATCAACTGATGAGGGGATGAATAGTGCAATATATCCATAAAATGTCATATATTTTGGCAATAAAAAACAACAGTGTATTTGGCAGCATGTGTAGACCATGAAAATATTATAAAAATGAAATAGTCTAGTAAGAGAAAGACAATAAATCATATGATTGAATTTATGTGAAATGTTCAGAATGAGAAAACAAGTTTGTGTTTGCATTGGATTGGTGAGTAGTTTAGAGGGTGACAGGGGTATAGTGATTTCTGGGCTGTAATAAATTGTTCTACAATAGATCATGGTAGTAGTTACAAAACTATGTGAAAGTATATTATTTTAGGGTGCAGTTTTTAATTTGTTGTCTATTTTAATTAAATATATTTATGGGTTATATGCAATAATACTATATACATATATATGTATACACACACAATGATCAAACTCGGGTAGTTAGATATGAATTAATTGTATGGTATGTAAATCATATCTCCATAAAATTGTTATAGAATGTCTATATGAGAGTAATAGGAAGTTGGTTGTAAAAGGCAAGGTTAGAGGCCGAGGTACTTTTTGGAAGTGAGGTCACTTTTCCTGGAGAGATATGAACAGAGGTTTATTTACCACAAACAGAGCAATGACAACTGGTCAATCAAACCACTGTACCCAAATCTACCTTCACAAACTAGTGAGTTTGAGGTACTTAAAGCAGCAGTAATGGTTCAGAGGTTACTTATAGGAACATGGATAATTAAAAAAAAACATTGAAAACCTCACCTATCATAGGTGATGACTCATCAAATTTGCTTTCTTAGAGCTTCCTGTATAGTCTGCGCATTTTTAGCGGTTGTTACTGTCTTTGTAATCTATGATGGCAGGTATTTGTGAATCTTGAAAGCTTCTGGAGTAAAGATATGAGTCAATGGTTAAAAGCACGTGTTTCTCTTCCAGAGCAATGTGAATTCAGTTCCCAAAATGCATACCAGAAAGCTTACTACCATCTATGGCTCCAAAGGATGGCATGATGCTTTCTTGTCTAAATGGCCATCAGCACTATGTGGGCATACTCCCCGTACATATGAATTTAAAATAAACTAAATCTTAAAAATCTAAAGTATATTGTAGAGATAGAATCATAAGACTTGGTACTTCATTGGATGTTGAGTATTAAAGTGGCAAGGAAAACTAAAGTTTTGAGTCTTGGCAACTAGGAGAATAGGTATGCTATTTCACAACATCAAAAGCACACTTTGGAGAAAAGTTTTACTTTTACTTTTTCCAAGGAGAGAATTAAATTTATAACAATTTTAGGTTGTCTTTGGTCCTGAAGATTGAAGCTAGGGCTGCCTACATAGTAACCCCCAATGGAAAATTTCCATTTTTATCTGCTATTAGGACAGTATGAAAATGATATCTACTACTCAATTGCAATTTTGAGGTGAGAGTTTAGCAACAAGGTAGGTCTGACTTGAAGTTGTTAAGATTTTTCAAGGCGAAGATCATAATATGTAACTGAAATCTTCCTTAGAGTCTGGGAGAAAGGGGTGAGATGAGCGCGGAGTTTATGGAAACAGTTTCATTCAGGAGGCAGCAAGCAGAGACTCAAGATGAGCAAAGAAGCCAAATGATACAACATCATAGCCCCTGAACACAGCCGCAGGACTGCATCATCACAGAATTATGTCTGAACTTCTGTGCATGGAGGGGCTAGAAGTTTTTTTTTTTCCAAGCAGAGAGAAAAAAAAATCTAACAAAGTAAACTGGAGCTTGGTATGAGAATGATGGATGAGACTCTTGAGGGTGCTGAGGCTCATCCACTGCAGCCTTTCGAAATAGAGGGAAATGTCATACTCGCACCACTGAGATGTTCCTTACTACCCTTCTTAGGTGAAGTACTTACTTACCAGTGGAACATCCCAGAAAGATCTGGTCCTGGACCTGGTGATTCTGCTTGTGTTTCCTGGATTTATTATTCTGCAGTGGAGCCCATCAAGGTAAAAAAAAAAATTGAATATTGAAAGAAGGATCCCAGTAATGGACAAACTACCTGGCAAAATGACAACAAAAGATGTGGTTAAAAGAAACAAACAAAAAACAACCAGCCTACCAATCAACCAACCAACAAACAAAAATAAAAAAACAGCTTTTAACACCCAGGGTTTGAGGAAATTTACTCAAATGCTTGCCTTATTTTAATAGGAAGAGGGATGAAGGTAGTCTGTGACACCCGATAGTTGTCATGAGGATTTTCTTTTTTGTCTCATCTTTTTGGGTCCTATAAGCAGTATGTTCTCATATTTTTAAGAATGCGGATAGTTGTCAGGAAATGAGGGGCCTGTCGCAAATTTAACTCGAATGGCCTTGGAATAACTATGATTAAGTCATGCTGCCTCTGCCTGGGGAATGAATTTAGTCTATCTAGACAGATAATCTTGCAAGTCTTCAGCAATATGCTATGTCTACTCTATTATGGGTATTTTTCTTGGAGTTATGGATGATGCAAATGTAAGGTATCGTCCCCACTTGCAAAGTCCAGTTGAGCAAAAAGGAAGCAGAGAAGGTGTCAGGAAGAAAGCCACCTGTAATCTGGACTTTGAAATCTAAATGAGAGTGTGCCATAGATAAGGAGTAGGTTGGAGGAAGGGCATTGCAGGCATAAGAAACTGCCTAAAAAGGTGTTAGCTTGGTACATTTAAAAATTACTAAATAATTCAATCTAGCTAAAGCACAAGTTATACAAACATCACATCTCAACTATGTCTAGAATGAATACAAAGTATTCATGATAAAGTGACAATGGGCTTAGAGTAAGCTTATTTGTGACTCAACTCTCAACAAAGTACTGCCATCCAGGAATAACCTCATGTCTTTCTCCCTTCATCAGGACATATACAGTGGCCTGGTGGGACCTTTAGTCATCTGTCGAAAGGGCGTCTTGGGACCCCATGGACACCGGAATGATATGGACCGGGAATTTGCCATGTTGTTTTTGATCTTTGATGAGAACCAATCTTGGTATCTGGAGGAGAATATCGTAGTTTATGGGTCACAAGAGACAAAGCGTGTTGACCTACAGGATGAGACTTTTGTGGAGAGCAATAAGATGCATGGTCTGTAGAAAAGAAGCTACTCTTATTTCAAAGTAGTTTTGAGGAGATGATGTGCTAGGCTCATCTCTATCTGTGGGTGCATAATTCTGGAAAGGATGAGAAAGTTGGACAGTGGAATGAAAATGACTTAGAAAAAAGCCTTTCTTATTATTCTACACATATATTTGTAAAACAAATACATGGTCCAGGTTAGATGAGGTGCCCAGAAAGAAGGAAGCTAACTCTGTAAAGTTATCATTATGATACAAGCAAATTTTAACATACTAGATAAGTGAAGATGGACATTTGTGGCACTCTATGTACTTAATTAGCCTATCTAGACAGACAATCTTGGTAGGTGGCCCTCTGTTTCAAAATTCTGAGTTTGTTTTCCTCTCAAAAGCTTGATATCTAATCATCACTTTAAATTCTGGATCGGTTTTGTCAATATAGACAAATGAAGGACAGCTTGTCAGTTTTACTATTAAAGCAAAATTTAAATTTGCATGGAGTAGTTGGAGAAGCTAGCCACGGAGAGTAGCACATGGAGCTGTTACATACCATCAAGAACTTTTTGATTCTTGAATGAATCTGGGGTGGGAGAATTGTATCATCAAAGACTTCCTTTGCTCTAGATATCTGGTAGCTTTTCACAAAAAAAAAAAAAAAGAAAAGAAGAAGAAGAAAGTCGCGAATGAGAGGGAGGGCTTAAGTGCAGGGGAATGTCTGAAGTGATCTCCCCCAGCACTTCTCGCCTAAGATTTCTTTGATCTGAGAGTGAGGTGCAGCTTTGATAATGACTCTAATGGAACTCAAAAGTAGTAGCCCATTGTCCTACAGATTTTATCTATTTCCCCTTGATGGAAAGATGAGTGATTCACACTAGAATGGATGATTCACAACTTTACAAAGTGAACTTTTTTCATTTCTGTCAAATCAAGGAAATAAAATGGACTAGAAGTGAGAGGAAATGAGGGCAAAGATAGGTCCTCCCAATTCGGGATTTGGCTAATGCCCACTTTTATCTACTCAGGTGTCCATTTTCCCAAACCTCAGCTGTCACTCTACCTAGCTAGCTAAATAGCAGGTATTTCTAAACGCATTCTGAGCTATAAATACAAAGAAAAATAATGTTGTAGTCCAAGGGACAAATAAATAATATTCTAACTTCTCCTCTACATTTCTGAACCAGCTGAAAAAAATAAGTGGTTAAGATAAAATATGAGCCTTATTACCGAAAATGCTAATTGGAAAACTGAATTTCATTTTATAACTAAATATGATTGCTGATAGCTTTCCTTGCAAAGGATAGGTTTTCTAAATTGTCATTGACATCAATGGACAACAAAATTTCTCTGCATTAAGAGAGGCAGGAGCTTACCAGAACCAATTAGTGAACCAATTTGCACCCTTTTCTATGATCAAAGAGATAAAACCTCTAGAAGTGGGTGAGCCGAGCAATTTGGTTCTTGTTTTTAGCCAAATCCACAATTTGATGTTGGTAGACATAGAAAAATACTGTAGCTGTTCCTTTCCATTATTTTCCCTCTTGAAGAGTAGAGAGAAATTGCCTCTCATCTGTGAGAAAATGAGATGTGGGAGGAAATTGTTTTGGGTAAAATCCTACCAATATGAGTTAATGTAACCATGAATAGTTCAGTGTAGCATGGGATGTGATTTTGGAAGACAATTTGTTAAATAAAACAATGTATATTGTAGTCTGAGTTATCTGTTCGTGGTTTTGCAAGTGTGCCAGGAAGCTATAGCACTGTAGTGTATAAATTTATTTCCTGCTATTAGTAACCTGAGACAAGTTGGCAACATAGGCTTTCACACCTTAAAAGATAAATAAACCTAGAAGACAGATTTTGGAGAGTTCTAATGAATCATGCTGAGGAGTATTGAAGGAGTTCAAAGGGGGAAGGTGATATAAGAAATTGAGGTTACATAGAGGAGCTTAGGAAATCAGAAAAGTTTTCTTAAGAGGGTGAAATTTTAAAGAGAAATAATAAGGAAGCAATTTTTATGGGAAGGAAATTCAGAAGCCTAAGGATTCAGACGTGTATAGACCGAGCGGATGGTGGTGAAAGAGAACAAATCCACTAACTGGAATCGATAGTGTGGGTAGTTGGAGGTGGACCTGGGAAGCTGATATGGAGGTATATTTTAAATGAGCTTATTGCTGTGGAGTTGTTGTTCTTTGGGAAAGGGAGGAGCCCTTAAGTTTTTTAACTTCAAAATACCATGTTTAGAATAATTACTTAGAGATAACCCTGATATCATTATTGTGGAGGATACATTCTATAGAGTGATGTAGCAAGTTAGTAGCCTATTGCTATCATCAGAAATGATAGGAAATACACGTCAGACAGTGGCAAACTGTAAATGAAGAAAAAGATATGAGACATTTTCTTCTTTTGCAGCCATCAATGGGAAACTCTACGCTAATCTCAAGGGTCTTACCGTATACCAAGGAGAACAAGTAGCCTGGTACATGCTAGCCATGGGTCAAGATACTGACATTCACACTGTACACTTCCATGCGGAGAGTTTCCTCTATCAGGTGAGCTGAAATATGGTTGAGCCTCACAGGGGTGATTCAAACGATACCTTAAGAGTCATCGCAGAAGGCAATGGCAAGGAATAAGTTAATAGTTAAAGAATATGAAGGTTTATGATATGGAACATCTAGAAGGGGATTCTAATAAATTGTGTACTCCAGGGCAGTCACTTCTTATAGGATTTAGCTTTTCCTTCTGATAAGAAAGAGAATGTCTTACTTAAAAAGTTAAGTACATGGAAGGAACCAGTGTTACTGTATCTGAGCCTAAGACTTTAGATTCGATGAGCAATGATCTTAAGAGGAAGGAATTTCAAATATTCTTAAAAATCCCTGAAAGTCTTGAATCCATCATAACAAGAGTTTAAGTTCAGGATCTACATAGAACAATGCATGGTTGTGAAAAAGTTTTAGTCTTAGGAAAAGAGCACAGAATTGGAGACATTGTTGTAGATTAGAAATTTAGAACTATTTTGATCAGGGTCTTGGCAAGCTGGATTCACTTCTAAAGGAAACATGTGGATCCTTCTAAGAGATCAGAACTTTACCCAGACTCTCTAGATTTTAGCTTACAAAAAGTTTCAGAGAAACCAGATTTGAACCCTCTAAAAGACTGGTAACATCTTTCATCTGTGGCACTTTATGAAAAAGTAGGAGAACAGTGCTGTGTTGTTTTAGTTTGCATGATTGAGTTCTAGGAGAGATAAATAAATGGACCTTTGATGTTTCTCATTGTCGCAGACATTTGGAGTCTTAAGAACCTAAAAAGGACATCATAGACTTTTAGTTGCTGTAAGCTGTAAATTGGTTCCTCATTTTCACTTCTCCCCATCATCTTTATTATAGAATGGACACAGTTACCGGGCAGATGTTGTAGATCTTTTCCCAGGGACATTTGAGGTTGTGGAGATGGTAGCCAGCAACCCTGGCACATGGTTGATGCACTGCCACGTGACTGACCATGTTCATGCAGGCATGGAGACCATCTTTACTGTCTTGTCTCATGGAGGTAAGACCCAAATACCCCAAGTGTGCTATTTTCTAATCTTTTGTCTAGTCTGTAGAGAACAGGTGATAGTAAGGAACCACTTGAACTTCCCCTACTGGCTCAGAAGAACCAGGTTTTATCATAGAGCAGGGCCCCTGTTTAGACATTTCCCCAAGCTGCATTTCTTGTCCTCCCGTGTGAGTATATTACATTTGCAAGGGAGGGCTCTTTGCCAGTGTAGGTTTACCACCCTTTGGCAAAAATAATATTTATTTATTTACAAATTCTTTTAACGTCTAATAGAAATTACTAATGAATGTTTCTTTGATGTAGTCAGTGTCAATACAGACAAATGTGTGGGACTTGGAAGATAGCTGAGTGGGCAACAGTGTTTGCAAGCCAGCATGAGAATCTAAGTTTGCCGTTATTTAAAAGAAGTTGGGTATGACCAAAATACCTGGAACCCAGGTGTGGCAAGATGAATACAGGAAGATCCTGGGAGCTCACTAGCTAGTCAGCTAAGCCAAACAGCAAGTTCTGGGTTCAGTGGGAGACTCTTGTCAATGAAACAAAGGTGAAAAGTAGGAAGAAAGACATCCAGTGCCCTTTGAATGCATTGGCATGAGCACACATATCTGCCTGCACAAGCACATGTGAGCATATATACATCAACCACATCACACACGCGCACACACACACACACACAGACAGACAGACAGACAGACAGACAGAGACATGCTCATTGATCCACACCCCAGATTGTAGTGAATCCTTTTCTAAAGAGAAGAAAATAATTCTAGGGGATACTCTAGTCATGGTTTTGTGAAGGTTGTGAATGGCAGCTCTTCAGAATGTTCTCTGTCTAAGTTCAATGGTAAATGTCCCACTTTTCTTCTACATGAACTGTGTCCAGGAACCAGCACTATTCTCATTCCAAGAAGCCTTCTTAGATCGATGTTTATTTTTACTTAGTTTTTATTTTTAATATTATAATATAATTATAGCATTTCTCCTTTCCCTTTTCTCCCTCCAAACCATTACAGGGTCCTCTTTCCTCTTTTTCAAAGTCATTATCCCTTTTCTATTATTACTGCATGCATGTATCTATATCTATATATACATTTCTTTTCCTAATTATAACTAGCTCAGTCCATGTGATGTTACTAGTATGTATGTTTTTAAAGTTTTTTTCATATATGATACTGATTTGGAAAATAATGGTATTAGAGTAGGTATTTTGAGATTTTTGAATATCAAAAGATATAGAGAGGAAAGATGCCTTTGACTATTCAAACAGACTTAGTGAACTAGAGTACAGAATACAACTCTGCTCTTAATGGAAGAAGACAAAATAATAGTATGTATGATTTCTCATATTATTAAAAAGTTTTTCTCTGCCAAATCTTAATGCTAGAATATGGCTTCTGTTGCTTTTACTTATTACTCTGGTTCAATTCCCCAGAACCCAGTTGTCATTTTTCTGTCACTCCATAGACCAGAAGACACACACAATCAAGGTGCTACAGATTCATATAAGCTTTGCTCATGTTGATTTAGAAGGTCTTGTTCTGTGGGTGTCCTCCATGCCTTCTGGTTCTTACACTATTTCTGCTGCCTCTTACTTGGTGTTTTTTGAGCTCTGAGCAGGGAGGGATTTGATGGAGATTTCCCATTTAGAGCTTAGTCTTCCAAGGTCTCTCATTCTCTGGCTGTGGGTCTCTATATTTGTTCCCAAATGCTATAGAAGGAAACTTCTCTGGTGGTGGTTGAACAAGGCACTGATCTATGAATATAGCAGAATATCATAAGGAGTCATTTAATCACTATGTTTTTTGTTGTTTTGGTTTCCTCTTTTAGACCAGTATTGTTTCACTTTCCCCTAGGTCACTAGGCTATCTAGTCTTTGGTTCTTGGTCACCCAGGTAGTACTGGGTATGGGCTGCATCTCATGGAGGGGATCATAAGTCAAATCATGTGTTGGTTGGTTACTCCCATAAGTTTTGGCCACCATTGCCCTAGCACATCTTACAGACAGGACACCATTGTAGATTAAAGGGTTTGTGGCTGATTTGGTGTTTATGCTTCTCTTTTGAGAGAATGCAGAGTACATTTCTGCAAAATGTAGAGGTAGAGACTTTTATGTAGGCACCAGCTTAACTTCTCCATGTGCAATGAGTTGTGTAGGTGTTATCTTCAGAAATGGGGTCTTGCTATCAGTTTGTGGAGAACATTCTATAGTCTTGACAATACCTTGAATTGTTTAGGCTTTTTCACTGGGACCCTTACACCAACAATTCAATTAAATGTACCCAATCCTGGTACAGGAAGCTTTGTTTGGTGACAAAAGATGGCCAGTTGGGACTCTACCTCCTTGTTACTTGGCTGTTTCATTTAGATCACCTTCATATATGTATTTTAGGAAGTTTCTACTGTATTAGTTTTATACTGCCCCTTGAATGTCACTTAATTTTACCTGTTATCCCTCCCACAACTGTCATCTACTTGATCCTTCTGTTTTAGACCCCCCCATCCTTGTCTGTCTCTAATTATCTATTCTACTTCCATTTCCTAAGGAGATCTCTTTCTTTATACCTACCCTCTGTGGGTCTGTGGATTGTTACTTAGTTATGACTGACTTATCAGCTAATATTCACATATAAATGGATATTAACATGTTTGTCTTCCTGGGTCTGGGTTACCTTATTCAGGATGATGTTTTTCTAGTTCCATTCAATTGCATTCAAATTCCATGATGTCATTTTTTAAAAAAAGATGAGTAATACTCCATTGTATAAATGTACCACATTTTCTTTACCCATTCTTCTGTTGAGGGACCTCTAGGTCATTTCCAATTTCTAAAAAGGCCATTTCTTGGATAAAGTTTCTGATGAAGCTATGAGGTACATGAACCACATCTAAGATGAAGGATTAATACAATGGTGGAGGAAGATAATCTTTCTATTGTGATAAGAGAGAAGACAGAAAAGAAAGAGGATCAGTGTGTAAGTTTAAAAGAAGGTCCTGACAAGCAGATTTTCTGCCTCATGTTCTCTTTATTTCTCTGTGGCTCAGCTGATAGTCATCTGCTGAGGGGGAGCTATTGGAGGAAATTGGAAGAAGTGTTAGGATAGCTACTTTGGGGTGAGAAATAAAGTCAGTATTTCCTTATAGTACTGAGGGCTTAGTTAAAATTAGACAGGGAGAATCCAAGTTTCTATATGCGTATGACTTTTTTCTGGTGGTATTCAGCATATTGGGTAAAATGCAAGGCAAGGAAAATTACTGTGATTCCCTATGTTAGTGTTTGAAGTTATAGACCATGTATTCTAATCTTGTCATTAGTAGAAGAGAAGCTATGGATGAAATGGGTAGGTCTGGGAAGTCAAATGGTTTAGGAATAAAATGTTTATTGAGGGGAGAACAACAGGATTTTTGCTACCAAAGCAATAAGCATTAAAAAGAGATTTTTGTTAACATTGGGATTTCTGCAATGGTGTCGGTCTGGATGAGCAATCCAATATGATCATGATTTAGCACGAGGGCTTCAACTGGAGTAAAAATACAAGTGACTGGAATGAAAATGTCTGGTTCCTGGGATGGAAATGAAGAAGGACTATACTAATAATCAAAGACTTCCATGGAGGAAGAGAACTACTAGTTAAGAATAACAAGAAATGTTTTTTCATTTTTCTGTTTGGTTAATGTGATCTTCAAAAGCAATCAGTCTTTACTAAAATGGGAGAATCAATATTTGAATAACACACCCTCAGAAAATAGTTCCGCTTCATTGAAGAAAGGGAGAATTATTATTATTATTATTATTATTATTATTAGTTTGAGACAGGATTGAATGTGTAGAGAAGCACATTTGACAGAGAGCAGGGGGCTTTCTTTTAGGGAGGCTGGGAAATGGTGGAAGAGAAGTAACATAGTATTCAATGGGAATAGAGAAAGGGGCAAGAAACACAGCCATAAAGGCAGAGGGCTAAGTTATAGTTTGGCTGCCTAGGTTCGTGTACTTGCTCTTGTTTCCTGTGACCAGTCAAAACCAAATTAACATTTTAATATTGATTTTTTTTCCTGATGAAATTTCTTATTTGACAGTTTCATGCATTCTGTTAATGTATTTGGCTTACTCTCTCTCTCTTTAACTACCTTGTTCCCTGCCATCCTCCCTCAACCAGTCCCTTTCTCAGATTCATGACTTTTAGGTTGGTTTGGTGACATTCAGTTCAATCAGAGCCATCTGTATGACCATTGAATTGGAACTATTTGTTGGAGCCTGGTGAGATCCTCAGTGGGTACTTAACTGAAGGCAATGGTCCTCACTCTCTCTGAATTTATCTGTAACAAAGACCAACCATGAGGGGTAGAGACCTGCGCTCCTCCTCCAGCTGTGCCTGGCTGTTGACAGTGACATTCTTTCGCAGATCCGCTGCAGGGAGCCACAGGGAGCCACACCTGCTTTGACTTTGTGATTTCAGGGACTTTGTCTGGCTCAGGAGATGATTTTTTGCAGTCCTTCTCCGTGCCTTCCAGGCTTCCATTCTTCATGACATTTCTTTCACAATGTTCCTCAAGCCTTTCCGTGGATAGTACAAACGTGTTGTTCAGGGCTGAGCATCTGCACCGCAATAGGCCTCTCCTTTCATTACTGTTCACAGGAAAGAGTCTTCTTTCTTTAAAGCCGAGAGTATCATATGTCTAGAGGGATCAATGGAACTGTTTAGGAGCTGGCTTGATACTATGTTCATTTGGTAAACAACAGTAGTCCAGTCCGTAACCCCCACACCACCACCACACAGGACCTATGATCTGCCCTACTATGGATTTTTTACTAGGTTTTAAGTATTAGGCATGTATTCCCTTGTTCTCTTAGAACAGATATCAAATCCAATCAGAGAGACTTTAAAAAAAAGAGTAAATTCCAAACAGAAATTGTTTCAAGTAATGTAAATATCCCATAGAAATCCCATCGATAGGTACAAAGAATAATAGGATTTACCTCTTGTCTTTTTCCACAGAACATTTAAGTACTATGACTACCGTTACCAAAGAGATTGGAAAAGGTATGTAGGATGATACATATATACCGAGAAGTTACATGTCGAGTGTGTGTGTGTGTGTGTGTGTGTGTGTGTGATACTTCTAGCATGACTAAACTTTGGCACCATAATATAACAACTTAAGATTTCTATAAGATGTCAGAAGCCAATAAACTAGGATTTAGTGACCCTCGACATGTTTATTCACCTTGTGTCTTCCCCATAACCTCTGGATTGGGGAAACAGTCACATAGAAAGCTGTAGCCTTAGTTCATGAACTATTTTATGAGGGAGAAGAAAATTCCAAATCCTGCTAGGTTATACCTGAAAGAGTTGTAGCCAAAACAAGGATTCCTACATAGACAACATGAGATGAGAACAAATACCAGATGTTCATTAACAACTACTTTTATTCTTTTATTTTTTATCTACAGAATACCAAGGAATTGTAGCTTGGGAACCATTCATTTTTTTCCCTTTGAGCAAATAAAGATTCTTTTCCTATGATGCCTAGGTCAAAATTATTCTTTCATTCTTTACTTCATTTGTGCCTTTTACCAGGAAAGATTCAGAAAGGTGTGTGAGGTACATGTGTGCTATCATGCCTGATATCCCCACACGTGGGAAGTGGAGCAGGAGAATCATTGGTTCTAGACAAACCTAGACTCATAGTGTCAACCTGTCACAAAAGACTAAAACACCCACCTAAAATGGACACTAAAGAGTATCAGTTTACTCTGGAGATTTTCAGCTCTACTGAAAACCAGGTTCTCATTAGTAAAGCCCCTGTCATCTACTTAAGTGTCTCATGAATTGTTAACCATCAATTGGGATGTGTGCTGGAGAGGTTAGAGGAAGGTGAGGTAAGGTTGAAAGGGCATTGTGCAGATCACATTTCCTTCAATTCAAGTAACCTAAATTCCTATAGTTCACATATATATGTATATGTGCATATATATATATACATTTGTGTGTGCATATGTGTCTGTGTGTATGTGAGTGTGTGCATATATACACACACATATATATGTGTGTATGCATTTATCATTTTTACATATGTATATACATATGCATTTGTACATGTACATATGTGCATATTTGTATACATATACATAAATATTATATGTACATTTCTCATAAACTCTCACTTGAGGAAAAATCTGTCAAAATTGTAGGTCTAACAAAATTCACTAATTTTCTAAATTGAAAGTTTGTTCAGGGTCACAAGAAGACTAAATGCCAGAATGTAAACTCAGAACCAGAATGCTTTTCAGTTTCTATTTGAACTCATTACTTTGCATCTTCTTTCATTTCTGTGAGAACATTCATTCTTCCAATTATGCATTCATCGAACAAGTGTCAGTTACCAGGGGCACAAAAACAAATAAGACATAATTGCTATTCTTCAGTGCCTAAAAATGGAATGAGACACAGAAACCATAATTGTAATGTTAGATGATCGCACAGTAAGGGTAAATAGCAATAATATCTTATAATTATTATATATTTGCTGTTTACCAGGTGCCATGCTAAATATTTCATGCATATTATTAACTCATTCAAATCTGATAATAATCCCCTTTGTTAGGAATGGTCATCATTATCTACATTTTGCTAAAAGAGTAAACTAAGATTCACTTGGAAGTCAGTCATTTAGCCCTAGGTCACAAACTAGATAAACCATAAGTTCAGAAAGAATACAGCCAATTTGGAACACTAGAGAAATACACCACAACTCAAATGAATTTCAGATATGTAACTTTTAACATGGAGTTACAAAGAAAAAGAAAAGTTGGAAATTATTCAGACAAAGAAAGATACATGAACAAAGTCAGAACCTATAGAGGTGCCATGTTTACAGGAAATAAAGGTTGACTTACTGTGGTTGAAAAATATCAGGTAAGACTAGAAAGGTAGTTTAGAGCCTGAATGAGAGGGTTGGAATGTGTGACTTGAAATTCTGAGCTTTGTCATGTAGATTAATTAAGGACAGTAAAATGTTTATATGACAGGAACTATCACAATCATCAGAAAAGATCTAGCTGAAATTACTATTAACATAATCTGTACAGGTGGGAGTCCAGACAGCATGGTGGCAAGCTGTCATAGTCCAATGACTAAAATGAATGTTAAAATAAGTTGGATTGACTCAATGTTCTTCACTAAGTTTCACTTATTTCTTCTAGTTGTACTCTCTGGGTCCATGCATATCAAGTCTAATTATTTTTTCTATAGCATAAGATTTTAAGTATTCTCCAGTGACTCTTAGGACTCCCCATGGGCAAAAAAAAAAAATGGTTCATCACTGATTGACAAGGAGAGCTTCCAGCTCTGATATTGTAATTATATGAATTATCTGATTATAAATTTAAAATCTATCTTCATCAGCTGGTTTGAGGAATGGGGACAGGTCTTCTGTCCTATTTTCATGGACTTGTTTGTCTAGACGATGCCTGTAAAAGGTAATCTCATGTCTGGGTATCCCTTTCCTCTTCCTCCATTTCAGCAGTGATCCTAAGAGACATTGGAGAAGACAGTGTGAAGCTGCTGGGCATGAAGATTTCCATAAAGAATGCTGAGATTCTGTCTTCTGTTTTGATTGCCATAAGTGTAATTCTTCTTCTTGTTGCTCTGGCTCTTGGTGGCGTAGTCTGGTACCAGCATCGACAAAGAAAGCTTCGGCGCAACAGGAGGTCTATTCTTGATGATAGCTTCAAGCTTTTGTCTCTCAAGCAGTAATAGCTGAAGCCCGAAGATATCTTCAGAAAACACATCTGGAATGTATCCCATGCTCCCAGGAAGCCGTGTACTAGCAGGAAACTCTTTTGTCAAGGGGTAGGGGTAGTGGAAAGGCAGAGGATGGAATCAAAATTATTTGGCCATTTCTTTATTTATTTACATGGAAATCATATGCTCTCACTTTTTCTTAATTTTCCTTGCAACCTGAGGCAGTTAGGATTAGGTAAGTTCCTTTGTATACAAATGTCAGTAGCTAGGATATGTTACCCTTCAGTATTGTACCAAAATTCCTAGAACGTAATCGTTCTCACAGAATAGATACCAAGAAGGTATCTAATTAGGCTTTTATTTCCAGAACCTAGCTGGAAAGTATACTTTTAATTGAAGCCAAATGATGAGCCACAAAGATAACCCATAACTAAATAGAGGACCAAGAACATAAGCATTATGGAAAATGAGAGGTAGCGTGGGGAGTAGGAATCGAAATTACTCTTTAATTATCTCTGACAATGGACTATTTAGGTGAAAGAACTGTGGTTGTTATGAGTACCTACAAACTCTGGAACCAGAAACACCTGTAAAACAGCTCTTCAGGTTTCTCCACAGTGGTACTGAAGCGACTTTGGGGTGATCTCTGCATGTTTGAGGTAGTGAATCGTATCCATTAAAGTACTTATTAAAAGATTGGAACACTGGATTTGATAATTTTGATGTTTCCCATGGCAACTGAAAGGTGGAATTGCATTTTAAACAAAAGGATTTCAGTGATCTGGGGAGGCAAATTATAGATCTAGACACCCTTTGTGGATCCTAGAGATCTGTGTGCTTTCTCAACATAAGCCTCCATGTCAAAGTAGTAACATCCTAGAGGAGGCGTTCTATGGGTGCTAAACATTTTTGGAATGTCAAGAAAAGTGGCTAGAGAAGGCACTGAGATGAGACTCACACCTGTCCACTGGGCAAAAAAAGGTAGGTGCGTGCATGGCAGTTTGGTTGGTAGGGATGGCTGTGGGGATACGAGAGACATATTTGCAGTCTGTAGATGTCATCATAGAACAGAATCATTCCTTCCTTTTTTCTTACATCAATATCTCTTTCTTACCAGCATGTTCAATCCTCTCTGAAGCTTTGATCAGAAAGCAAAGGCAGGAGAAAAGAATGGAGTAAGACAGCCCATTCTCACTAGAGTTTCCACATGGCAAATGGAGAACAGAAGGGGCATCATGGAGAGTAATGATAATAGCAATGGAATGGGAATTTAACCTAGTGGCAAAGTGATTGCCTAATAAAAGAGAGTCCCTGGGTTGAAAAAAAAAAGATCACAAAGGAAACAAAACAGAAAACAAGGTAATAACAGAGGTGTGTGGTGATCTTCCTACACATAGCAAATAATTCTAATTCCTGATTAGATTGGATTTGCCTTGGCTCATTAAAGTGGAGATTAAATGATTTTACTTAGGGTGACTCAGCTGCAAATTGAGTGGAGACTTAAATTTTTCATATCTTTGACTTTAAAAATGTTCTATTCTCCCTTTGTCATGGAAACTTCGTTTTATTCTGCCGTTCTTTTGCACTTGATTTCAAATTGTGAGGTTGCCTAGCAACTTGTTTACTTAGTTAGCAACCCACAGAGTTGGTTTCCAGTTGCCATAGGATGCTGCAGGTCAGAGGCCAGAGATGAAAACAAAGACCAGAATAATGTGTTTAACTCGTCCATGCTCAGTGACTTTCTGGGAAATTTCTGGAAATCTAGGTTCCATATTTACCCACTGTCCTGTTTTAGAAATAATATGCCTTCTTAGAGAGAAATTACTTTACACACTTAGAAGGTATTTTGTATAGTCTTAACCAAAGTGTACACGGCTGACGGTGGCAATGCTCAAATAAGAGTCAGAAATGAATGGAAGGTATTATTGACTTATAGACACCTTAGACTTATGTGTCCCACAAACACCGTCATGCTAAAATCTTTTTCTGTCCTGGTCGAAGGTCACACTTATAACAATTTAAACAGTCAGGAGACTGCAATTCTTGTCACTTAGTTAGCTAGATTTACATAGCAAAGATACTGTCATAATTATTTTTAAGTGTACCAGTGTTATTCCTTTTTGAATAGTTGTTACCCAGGGCCATCCTTTCTACATGGCAGAATTGTGGCAGAGCAAGATGGTACAGAGGTTCCTTCATCTTCTTGTTCCTTCATCATTCCTGTCAAAGCTGTTTTAGGTTTGACTAGAATTTGATCTCCTTGATGTAGAAAATTACCCAACTCTCTTCTAGGAACCTGAATTCAAGATGCTCCAGCTAATTTATCTTGGCTTCTGTTAAACTGCCTGCTTATGCAAACCTCCCCTTCCAGCGAATTCGCTTTTGGTAAACTGCTTGCTAGAGCACCTGCTGCGCCAGGTAGCAGGATGTGGTTTGTCCTTTAACAACCCCCTTACTCTAAATTGCAGTGCTATGCTTGGGTCCTGAATATCTGAGTGTAGTCCCAGCTGGCTGGAATAAAGACTTTCAGTTGGATATAACACAGTGTCTGCGTTTTCTTCTCTTGTGGGTCCCTGTAACAGCATGTGGTTTTCCTGATAGGAACATAGGAGACTTAATGGCAGACTAGGCCTCAGTGGTCACTGTCACCCTACGCTGCTCCAACTCTAACTGTTCCTTAGAAGTATGGATTTGGTATAGGAATCAGGGCCAAATGACTGGTCAGCCTTGGTGAATAAACATTCACATTCTAGCATCACAAATTTCACTCATCTCCCGCAGGCCTGGTGTACATGCTACTTACCTTTGAGGTGTTTTGTTAGTAGTGCTACTCAGGCTAAGTTTTGCATGTGTGACTTAATCTTTCTTAAGCAAATACATTAATAAGTGCTTCATAATATCAGTTTTTATCACTTTGAATTTCTTTTACAACAATTTACCACAACAAAGTGTTAGTATTTAAGCCTTTGCAAATTGATAGATGTAGCAGCACCCGACAACCACCCTTTGATCTGTTGTTTATGTGGAGATTAATGAAAACTGACTCTATTCCAGGGAACCCAGTCAATTAATGTTGGTAATTTTCATTTAACTGGAAAGTCCTTAGTTTGCATATGTGAGACTGGGAGATATAGGTATGTCGTGATGCATTTTAAAAGACTTAATTTTAAAATTATTTTGTAATTATGTATATGTGTATGGGGAAATGGAGCAAGGCCAGAGGCATCAGACACCCTGGAGCTGGAAGTACCGATGGATGCGTTTTTTACTTAAGTTGTTATAAATATGGATTTAAAGAGGTACTATGCAAAACATAGTTAAATTTACTCTCATCCATCAACATCAATACATTAGTGTGTCTTATTTGCTTTCTCTCCAATACATCCTTAAAATATTTTATTTTTTTAACAATTTTGTTTTTCTTATTACTATTGTGGAGCGCATACCAGAGCCTGTATATGGAGGTCAGAAAACAACTTTCAGAAATGGATTTTCTTCCCCGACTGTGGGTTCGGGTGACTGAACTCACATTATCAGGCGTGTATGACAAGCAATTTTACCCAGTGACCCATCCTGCTGAACCCAAATATTTTTTATTTGTTTATGTCTTTGTTGGTTCCCACTTCACTTAAAAGCTTAACTATTTGTTAACTTGGCATGGTGACTTATGCATACCATCCCAGCATTGAGACATAAAGGACACAAGGTGAAGGCCAGCCTAGAGTGCCCAGTGAGTTCCACACCAGCCTGGGCCACTGAATGAAACTGTTTCTCAAAACAAAGAGGGCGAAAAATTCAAAGCCGTTTGTTTCCTGGACTATTGTATTCTTTTCCTGCTGTTTTTCTCAGATTCTCTCTGGACTTACAATTGATTTTTCAGACAGAAAAGGGAGGCTTCAAAAATATAATTAAGTCTCTAGTTTGAACAACATATTGTACGTTTTAGATCTCCCCGAAGATAACTAGACTCTGGAGATAATTAAAGAGGCAACAACAGAAGAAGAAAGAGAAAAATCAGTAAATAGGACGGCAGGGCTGAAATGTAATGTTAGCTTTGTATCATACGACGCTCTACCCGGAACAGCCAAGTCGCAGCATCCTTACACTCAAAACAAACAAGGTAGAACATTGTGATAGTTTGAATGAATATGGTTCCCATAGACTTATGTTTTTGAATGCCCAAAGGGAGTGGCACTATTAGGACTTATGGGCCTTGTTGAAGCAGGTGGACTTTTGAGGTCTTATAAGCTCAAGCTGTGTCCGGTGTGATACACAGTTGCTTCTGCTCCCTGCAGATCATAATGTACAACTCTCAGCCTTTTTTTTTTCTAGCACCACGTCTGCCTGCATACTGTCCTGCTTCCCACCCTGAAGATAATGGAGTAAACCTCCAAAACTGTAAGCCACCCCAATTAAATGTTTTCCTTTATAAGAATTGTCATGGTCATAGTGTCTCTTCACAGAAACAGAAATCCTAACTAAGAAAAGCATAATCATAAAAGTAGCCATGTAACATCAAATCGAGTGAGACTGGCAATCTTCTAGAAACCCTGGAAACTGGAAGAAAGTGCCGTAGTAGTTTTCGAATGAAGGAAGAAAAAGATTACCAAAGCCATGCATGGTGGTACACACACCTAGAGATTTAATGCTTGGAATGCAAAGTAGGGAAGACCAAAGATCATGGCCAGCTTAGACTTTATTGAAAGTTGAAAGCTAGCCTGGACTACATACGGAGAAACTGACTCATTCCATCATTTCAATTCTGTATCTAATGAAGAATCTGCATTTTCTAGTGTTGTGTATAGATATAATTCATGTAGTATGTACTATGTGATCTGACTTCTTTGTTGTATGTATTGGCATCTTATTTTTGAAATAATTTCTGAGTTGTATTCTATGTGGTAAAATAATGTGATTTTTTTCATTATATTTATTGTGGACATTTGAGTTGTTTTTGATCACAAAACGGTGCGTTGAACATTAATGTACAAAAAATTAGATGATATCCTGGAGCATACAATAAACATCATTAAGCATAGACAAATTGACATCATATGGTTTGTTTCTTAAACTGCAGTTGACCCAAACTAGAAATCAGTAGCTGAAAAAAATCATATTTAATACTTAAAAACTTAAAAATATAGTTTAAAAAGCTTCATGGATAAAAGAAAAAGTCTCACTGGCTGTCCAAATATGATTTTAAGTTACGACTTGAAATCAAGGTCTGTGGGCACAAGAGATTCAATGGCATATCAGAATTTAACAATAGTTGTGACTCTATGCTGCCCTCCCCTCATGAGCTGCCCATTAGAAGTATGTCCTTGAGGATGGGAATCAGGGCCAAATGGCTAGTTGTTAGTGAGGGCTGTATCCTTTGTCATAGGAATGGAGCCTAATGGCTAGTCAGTCCTGGTGAATAAACATTTTCATTATAGATTGCTCAATTTCCCTTATCTCTAACAGGTCTGTCTAAGTCTTCTAAATAAATTTATCAGTAAGTCTTTTATATTACCAATTCTTTCACTTCTATATCATTATTATTATAGATCCTAAGACTATTAGAAGGATAATAATAAGTGAGTGCTATGAACAAGTCAACAGCCATAGTGTTTCCAACCTCTATCAGTATACAAATTCCTTAAATTTCTAAATATAAAATCCATTAACTGTTCTAAATAGAAAGCAATGGGTGCAGATGCGTGTCCTAGT